TTTTCTGTGGTGTAGTTTCTGGTTTAGTTTCTTAGCCTTTAACATCGCTTCATCAAAAGACCATCAAAGTATATATACCATTAAAAAATGGCGTAAGAGGTCATTGCCTACAAGATCTCTTACACAAATATTCCCGCACTAGTTTTTCCAGGGTATCAACGACACTTTGGTTTATTTAAATAATTTTAAAATTTTAGGCTTGAAATATTCATCCAGTTCAAGTAAGCTTTGTGCACGCTCCATGGCAGAATACAAAACAACACATTTTTTGGGCTTGGAATATAAGACATTAAAATAATGCATTTACTAGAAATAAATTGCAACTAATAACTACTTCGGCCGGTGAAGTTTAGAAGTGGTTATTTTTACTTAGCTATAGCACTAAACATTTAACGGTATGTGGAAAAAAAAGTCAAGCTTCTATATATTCCGAACTTGGTGGAAACCATCTAGGAGTTAATTGTTGGCATGCGGGAGACATTTACCTAATTTACTGTTTTCGGTAAAAAAGAAACATTATATTTGAAATTAATACCCGAATCAGCTAGTACATTTCACTTATTGATAAAAAAATGCTTACTTACGGCCCGTCCATCCATGTCTCCGTTTTACTGTTCCATGTTATTGTGTACATGTTTTTTTTTCGTCGATGGGGTATGTAGATGTATGAGCGACTTCATACATGGCACAGTATTCGGTATATAGTAAAAAATATCGTTCCGTTAAAAAATGACATTCCGTTTCGTCATTTTAAGGTCGATTCAGACACAATAGTCCCGTCACAGTCTCGGTGCCGAACCGGTCCTGTTTGGTCACAGAACTAAAATGGTTCTACCGTAAATGTAAATGGTTCTACCATTGGAATGAATAAATAAATAAATAAACTATTAATTATCTGACAGCTGGGAAACTGTTCGTCGCCTGATAAATGTGAATGCCGGCGCCATATTTTTATTAAAGAATATTTTGTGTGACGGATTGTTCGGTTCGGCGCCAGGACTGTGACGAGACGTGACTGATGTGTCTGAATCGACCTTAATACTGGACGACGAAACAGTTAAAAATATATGGATACGTAGAATTCTAACGGATGGATACTATGTCCGTAGCGGACTACGTGTGCTGGGTGTAGGAAAGGGAGTGATGCGACAGGATTTGACTCGTATTTTTTTATTGTAAATTTAAAGAGAACGCACGTTATAATGTGTAATAATTATCATTATCACAGATCAACCATATCAACCAAGGAGTGGGAAAAGTTAAAAGATAAGGAAATGTTAGTTAGTTTGGTGGAAGATAGGCCAGTCCTTTACGACAAGACGCTGGATAAATACAAAGACAATACTGCAAGTATTGCAGGTTGGAGCGCAATATGCGTTATTTTAATCGAGGATTTTGATGCCATGGAACAGACATGAAGACAAGAGTTTGGTAAGTGTCTGTTTTATTATTTAATTACAATCTAAATAGCTTTATCCTGCCATGGAAGTAACCCGGCTTCGGACATGAAATACTTCACGAATTCTGTTCGAACTTAATTGGCAGTATTAACTCCTCGTGTACTCTTACTTCATGGGTTAGGTTTTCGTAACTAAATTCTTCAGATAAGCTATTATCACTGTTTGAGCCCTCCTTGTCTCTTATAAAGTTGTGTAGTATAGTATATGTCTTAACAGTCCGTACAGCTGTTGTTTTATTGATGTCTAGAGGCCGATGTAATATTCCTCCACTTATTAGATAAGATACCGAAGGTAAATTCAACGTATCTCCTAGCTCTAGTCAAACGATAGTTGAATATTCGTTTATTTTTGTCCAGATGCATCCCACCAAACCGTTTTAGTAAATTTTCGTGTAATCCGAAACCTTTGTCTCCAATGACCACATAAGGAACTCTCATTTCTGAGTCTCTTGTTAATGGACACGGTGCTGGTATGTGTAGACTGTTGTCTAGAATCTTTATCCAAAATGTTGTCTCCTTGACTATTAATTGATGAATCGCATTCTTTTCCATAAGATTCGGAGTCTACGATCGCTAATAATATGACGGAAAAAAGTCCTTGTAATTGATATACAGTGAGCCGCTATTTAGTGGTTTTTTTAAGTCGGATATGTTTTTCGTCGACAGCTCCGAGACATTGGGGAATATTAGCTTTCTTGTTAAATCCACTTGCTATCCGTTCCCATTCGTCGACTGATGTAGGAAGTCGCATAAATTGTTCATTTAAATTGTTTCACATGCAACGTGAAAGTTCTTTAATAATATTGCGAACAGTCAATACACCAACACGATAAGTGTAATAAAGATCTTTAAATACATACCCGGATACTTCATACCTAAAAATAAAATTGTTTTATACTTGTTTTATAAAAACTTGTTATGAAAAAGTGGAGACAAATGGAAGATGTCTAAGTAAGAACACTAAAAGATAAAAAGAATTGCAAAACGTCTGGTTCCGCTCTCTCAAACACGCAGCCCTACAAGTACCATAATCAGATGCTGTTTTTGAAAAAAGTAGTTGCTGCTGGTGAAACGCACGAAAGCGTCTCTGCAAAACAAACTGAAGAACACATCGAAGATGACACCAGGACATCGAATAAACCTACAAACGAAGATACCACTGTGACTACAATGACACAATTTGACAATGACAGTCAAAAGGACAAACAAATTCTAGCTCCCCTGCCAAAACTCAGAGCATTAGCCAAAAGAAATTTTAATAAAATTGATGTCAAAATGATGTCCTACATCGACTCTCAGATAAAATCGAAGAAAATTAAGCAGGATAATCGCAATTTATCATTCTTCAAAGGTATTTTGACGTCCTTGACTTTGCTTGATGATGAGGATGATGACCAAACTTTGAAATTCCAATCAGGAGTGATAAACCTACTACAAAATATTAAACATAGGAGAGTTGACCAGTCATCTTATGAGTGGTCATCCTATACACAAACATCTGGTGCTAGTCACTATCAATCCCAGGGCTATTTTAGTAGACCATAGCCTACTGATAATGCACTATCGCCAGTAAAATCTGTATACAGTGATGCTACGTTGGTAGATCGATAGAATTGGTAGACGGTAGAATTTTAAAAATAAAAGTACTTACCTTAAAAACATTGCTAGTATTTCTTCTGTGTAGATACTTTGCTCTATCGAGTAGTATCTTGTTTTTTTAAATACTTTTCTAATAGTTTAGGAAGTTCATTCAAAGTAGACATTGACATACGAAAGTAATTGTAAAATTTCGATTCATCACCTCGTAACTGACTCATAAGTAAACTTTGGGCCATAAGTTAATGCTGCTAATAACGTTGAATCTTCCTTCTTTGACGATAGTACCAATACAACACGACAGCGTCCATCCTTGTAGAATACCGGCGTATACACTGCGAGTTTTTTGTTCACATCGCATCCAGTAATGACGGATTCGTTGAACGTTATACGGTGTCTATGTGTACAGAGCATAAATTTATTACGTATCCGTTAAAAAGGAACCAGTAAAACGGACTCCGATGTGTGAACGGGCCGTAAGACGAAAACAAAATTTTCTAAATGCGAATATACCAAAGTTTTTTCAATATACTCTTGTGTGGATTCTTAAAAAAAGTGAAGATATATAATGTGAAACGATTATTTTTTAAAATAGGTAAAGAAATAATAATAAGACTTACTCACAATCAATTTAATTTAACAATCTGACGACCGGTTTCGCTTTCTACAATTTGCAAAGCATCTTCAGGTCGAGATACAAAGTTAAACTAATGCTGCAATAAATTAAACCCAATTAGGGTGGTGTCTCATAAAGATAAAATAAACAAATAAATTAGTTCATACAAATTATAGTAATTATGCCAATATTACATGTCTGTGGTTTTCAAAATGAATAATTTGAATATATAAAAGGTATTGACAGACAAGGTAAGGCCCACAATTGGTATAAAGTAGCAATATTATATTGTAATAAATTAATAAATGAGCAAATAAATAAAACAAAACAAAACAAACATTACTTACATGCCGGTACTCTATTAATTGATGGATGGTAGGTCATGGTTGCAAAAATCATGTATTGTTGATTGGAGAACTTTAATGTGCTATTGCAGTTGTTTTGACAATAAACGGGAAGTTCTTGAGGAGAACAGATTTGATCCAATGAATTAGAGATAGGTATATTGTGGTTGTTTGTCAGCTGAAAGTGATGTTCTTTACTATTGTATTATTTAAATTATTTACACTTATATCAGAGATATATTTTTTTTTTTTATATTTTTTTTTTTAAATATATCTTTGATATAAGTGTAAATAATTTAAATAATTTAAATAATACAATAGTAAAGAACATCACTTTCATCTGACAAACAACCACAATATACCTATCTCTAATTCATTGGATCAAATCTGTTCTCCTCAAGAACTTCCCGTTTATTGTCAAAACAACTGCAATAGCACATTAAAGTTCTCCAATCAACAATACATGATTTTTGCAACCATGACCTACCATCCATCAATTAATAGAGTACCGGCATGTAAGTAATGTTTTTTTTGTTTTGTTTTATTTATTTGCTCATTTATTAATTTATTACAATATAAGATTGCTACTTTATACCAATTGTGGGCCTTACCTTGTCTGTCAATACCTTTTATATATTCAAATTATTCATTTTGAAAACCACAGACATGTAATATTGGCATAATTACTATAATTTGTATGAACTAATTTATTTGTTTATTTTATCTTTATGAGACACCACCCTAATTGGGTTTAATTTATTGCAGCATTAGTTTAACTTTGTATCTCGACCTGAAGATGCTTTGCAAATTGTAGAAAGCGAAACCGGTCGTCAGATTGTTAAATTAAATTGATTGTGAGTAAGTCTTATTATTATTTCTTTACCTATTTGATATGGACTCACACAAGCAACACATTCATGATTTGATTATTTTTTCTTGTCTAAAGCCAACGACCAGTCATTTACACACGTAAGTATATTTATTACTATCGATTATCAGGTATAAAACCGTGTCCAGTAGCAGAAATTCTCTGATGTATAATTATAAAGTTTATAAAAGTTTCTTGAATAACGGAATTCATAATTTTAACCATCATGAACGTTAAACTTATTGGCCTATAATTATAATACTTCAGCTTATCATTTCTGTTGTAAGTAGGAATATTAGATGAGTCAGATTGCATGATAATTGACAGCGGATAACTAATAGAGGTTAAGCATATTTTCAAGGGCATTATAACTTTAATGGTTTTTTCTGGTTCCAAACAAATTCTGTCAAAATCGTGAGAATTTCTAGGTGAAGCCATAAGTAATGCATCGGGGTTGTTATCCTCTTTTGTAAAACTTATCTGTAAAAAAAATTTACCTGTAAAATATTAGCAATCTTAGAATTACTTTTCGTTGGTCTGTGTCTCTATTTTGTAACAATTGAGTTGATGCTTACGATAAAAAAATTTCTTACGTTTAAAAAGAAGTTTTTATTTGAATTTGTGACAAATTGGTTCTCCAAATTCTGATATGCTTTAGGAATAGTGTGGAATTATATAGCAGGTATAATTAATATCTAATTAAGTGCTTCTGGTATCTTTTTGATAGCATAGTGTTTCGTCATTCAATAAAATCTAACACATTCTTTAATCAGACGTATACGCAATGCTCTCGTTGGCACGATATAGGCGGATAGCTAATAGATGAAAAAACAAATGAATACAAAAAGTCTCTAGCTTTTCATATTCGCCCCGTGCGTGACTGACGCGACACCTATTGCCTTCATCTGGCAGTTTTGGACCTCCCAAGTTGAGGTTAAACATAAATATGTTAAAGACATACGAAATTGACAATTATTAATAATAAGTTTTTTAATTATATTTTTTCAGTTCATGTACAAAATACATGTAGTATTAAAAACTGGATTTCTATAAATTCATCATAATTTATCTTTTCAACCCCAAAGTGAAAAGAAAGAGAAAATCTAGTACTGGCAAATCAAGATTTTCATGTGGCAGAGCATGTAGTTAAAAACAATAATACTAAAAGTTATGATATAAAAGCTAAAATCATCAGGCAGGCTGCAGTTAGCTTAGAGCCTTGTAAAATATCATTTAAGGTAAATTATTGAAATTTTTCCTATTTCGATTGCATAAAAATGAAATTATGTGATATTTATTTTATTATAATAATAGCACGCATCCATCTTTTTCTTTCCTCTAATTTATATGTAATCTTTGGAAACCTAAAAAAACTACACTCACTATTTTTGCTATTATTTGCACAATTAAATACGCAACATGTATTCGCACCCATTTTTGATAAAATTTATGCTTAAAAGATAGGTCCAATTTTGTCATATTTTGCCACTACGCACGCTGGCATCGTTTCAAGGTACTACTACCGTGGTTACGCACGGAGCGAATAGGGCCCATTTAGACACTTTTAATAGTTAAATACTACTGAACCAAGTATAGTTTCATGCCAAAAAGAATGAAAAATAACAAAACCCCAGGATGTGATACAATAACCAATAAATTTTTAAATATTTTTAAAATTTAATATTAGATTTATAGACAAATAATGCATAAACAATGAAAAATTGCCGTGATATGTCCTATGCATAAAAAGGAAGAAAAATTATTTAAACAATGCAAGAGTTAAATGTGCCAAGAAACTAATCAGATTAGTAAAACTATGCCTAACCAACACCAAAACAAAGTAAGAATCCAAAATCAACTGTTTCATGAATTTAATATTAACGAAGTTCGGGCTGTTTTATCGGTACACCAAAATCTAGAGACAGTGTGTTCTCTGTTATTTACCTACAAAATGTCTCGAAATTTGGACACTTTATTCAAAATTATGTTGCCTTTAAACTGATGGTTTTACTTTTTAATTTTTTTTTGAAAGTTCTTTTGAAATATCGGATTATGCAGTTTTACGTTCTATTATAACCAAACTTTTTACACCCATCACTTGAAACAGTGTTTTTTCTGTAATCGTTGATTTTTTTTACCTTTCTGTATTCAGTAATAATCGAGAAAAGCGTGTTCAAACTTTGAAGAAAATTGTTAAAAAAACTGAAATGTAATAGTGAAACGTGTTACTCATCATTGGCACTTATAGTTTCTTGGTTATTGCCTTCGTGACGTCAAATCTCATGAACGTACGGTCAGTTAGTTCGATTTGAAATCATTTTCAAGCTATAACTGTGAAATTGTTTATTTGTTTGTATTTATTTTGTATATACACTACAATATTTTTATGTTATTTTAAATTAATTATAAATAAATACCATGATGTTTTTTGCAGTCACGTTTTACAAATTTTATTCAATACTATATTTAGCTACGACATAAATTAAAAATGTGATAATTATTTTTAAAACATCTACGATAATCAATCAAAAAAGGTATTCCTGACCAAAATAATTTGAATGGAGAATAATGCATTTGTTGTCATTAAACTACTGGTCGGCCGGAGCCACTGAGTAAACAGCTATACCCGTCGGCTGGCGTAAGCAGTGTAGAAAAGTAAGTGATTCGCCCATTTCAAATCGCAGTGTGCTTTGACTGCTAAGACAGCCTTAACTACAAGTAACTTCAACTACTACTAAGCTAACACAAGATGCGCTATCCATAACACTTGTGACGTAGCTTACGCAGATGATATAGGCATAATTAGCTGGACATTGAAAGACCTAGAAAAGATTTATATATATTTTAAGGAAGCGGCACATAATATAGGTTTAGAAGTTAATATATCAAAAACAAAGTATGTGAAAACAACTCGGGAAAACTAGTACTAAACCAGAGGCTTTTCTTAGATTGGAACAACAGACGCAAGCAAAATATACCTATGGATCTTTAGAGGAGAATGAAAAATGGCATATAAGAATGAAGCACGAAATAAATAGATATTTAACAGACCAACTATTACTATTGTTCCGAAGCTATTTTCATTTGACATTTTAATGTAATTATACATAATGTAAATAATATGTAAATAAGAATAAGTCACAATTGAAGGTTAAAGTAGGTTTATTGACGTTTCAATTTCCACTTCTGAAATCGTTCTCAAAATACAAACATTAGTAAATTAAACAAATTTTGTTCTTATTAATAATAATATTACTAATAATTCAGACATTCAAGACAAGAAGACATTCAGGAGTTTTGGGGAAATCAACTTTCCACCCAGCTACTCTTAACACTAATGCTGGATGGATAGAAGATACGACGCACAACTGTCAACACTACCGCACAACTATTTATGAACCCTTCACCACAGAAGAAGTCTCTAATATCATCAAAAAGCTTCATAACTGGAAATCTTCTGGACCAGACGGAGTTCAAAACTTCTGGCTTAAGAAGTTCTGGAGTGCTCATGAGGGCCTGTTAACATTAATTAATCGTGTTATTTCTAATCCGCAGGAAATACCATCATTCCTAACTCAGGGAACAACTTATTTAATACCGAAGGATCAAAATAATACCCAAGATCCAGCCAAATACCGCCCAATTACGTGTCTTCCAACTCTGTATAAATTGGTCACATCCTGTATAGCCCAGCGTATCTACGAACACTGCGCTCTAAACAATATCATAGAACCTCAACAGAAAGGATGCGCTAAGGGCTCCATGGGTTGCAAAGAACAACTTATTATCGACTCAGTCATTTCTAACCAGGCATACACCAAAAAAAAGGAACCTCTTCACTGCCTTTATTGACTATAAGAAAGCCTTTGACTTAGTGCCGCATAAATGGCTTGTAGATATATTAAGAATATATAAAGTCTAAAGACTAAAATTCACCTTCAAATACCTGGTGAAAACAATATCGAAACGGAAAATATCGCAATTAACCGCGGCCTATTCCAAGGAGACTCGCTGAGTCCCTTGTGGTTCTGTCTAGCGATGAACCCACTATCCCAGCTATTGAACTCCACTGACTCAGGTTTTAGCATTAAAAACAACAACACTGTAGTGGCGAAGCTTAATCATCTGTTGTATATGGATGATTTGAAACTAATGGCTTCCACTCGAAATCACTTAGATCAAATGCTAAAAACTGTAGAAACTTTTTCAAAGGATATCATTATGCACTTTGGGTTAGACAAATGTCGTGTACTAAATATAGTCAAGGGAAAGGTTCAGCCCGGGGGATTCGATATGCAAAATGGCCAAAACATCGAGGCTATGGGCGAAAATGATATGTATAAATATCTAGGAGTAAAGCAAGTGCGGAAAATTGACCATAAACAAATGAAAATCGAATTAAAATCAGAGTTCATACAAAGAGTAAAACAGCTACTCTACTCACATCTTAATAGTAAAAATTTGTTTAAGGCATTAAACACCTACGCATTTTCCGCGCTTAGCTACTCATTTGGGATTATTAAGTGGACTAAAACGGATATAGAAACTCTTCAGAGAAAAGCATTATCCTCGAAGTGCAGTAGAAAGAACGACATTACCGCGGTATTTAGGAGGACGAGGACTTATAAATATAAGCGAGCAATTAGATAAACAGATAACTAATTTAAGAACTTATTTTCAGGTGCAGGCGGAGACATCTACTCTTCATCGCGCGATTTGCGCAGTAGATGACACAACACCGATCAAACTGAGGGAACAAGAAATGCGCATAAACCATCTTACTAACAACGAAAAAATGCGCATCTGGATGGGTAAACCTTTGCACGGGCGACATCCGAATTAAGTCAGTCAAGACTATGTCGACAATATAGCGTCGAACTATTGGCTGACATCAGGAAAGATGTTCCCTGAAACAGAAGGTTCATTACTCGCCATTCAGAATCAGGTTATACAAACCAAAAATTACCTGAAATATATCGTCAAAGACCCTCAGGTCCAAAACGAAAAATGCCGATATGGATGCCAAGCCCAAGAAACTATACGACATCTTACCGGAGGCTGCCAGGCATTTGCTGCAACTGAATAAAAGGAACGGCATGACTCAGTAGGGAAAATCCTCCATCAAGAGATAGCTTTTAAATTGGGTCTTCTACAAACAAACCATCTCCCATATTATCAATACGTTCCTGAGAGTATGCTGAAGAATGACAACTACAAGCTATACTGGGATCGCACTGTGCTCACAGACCAAACTGTAGCACATAATAGACTAGATCTCATGCTAGTTAATAAACTAACAAGACAAACAACTCTAATCGATGTGGCGATACCTAACAACAATAATCTGGGTGTTAAGTACAACGAAAAGATCGCCAAGTACAGAGATCTGGAAATACAAATAAGAAGACAATGGAGAATGGAAAATACCCAGACGATACCTATTATTCTTTCTACCACTGGAGTCATTCCGAAGAACCTCC